GCGCGCGCAAAGGTTCTTTGAGAATTTTTGTTTTTAATTTTTTTTTAATTTTTAATTGTTTTGTTTTTTTTGGGGACCAGGTGGAGTTCTAGTTAACAGCAAAGGTAGGATTCAGCTGTTTGCACACAGAGTTCTTGAGTCTACTTTCACTGCAAGTTTGTGTAATTTATCAAGCATTTTTGAGAAATATTTATTTTTCTATGCCTAATACAAAAGCTGATATTTTACAAAGTGACTTGACCAAAAGACAGTAAACAAAAACACTGGCACTTGAATGTTGAATGTCATTGGTATGAGTGAAAAATTTCTATTTTTCTGGGGTAGTGTGAGCTTTTTAATGTTAAAGATGCGACGTGGGGGAGCGTTTCTCCGTCAGCGTCTCACCATAGCAAGGCTGGTTTTCAACAGTGGTTGTAATTTTCAAAAATCACCTGCATTTCATAAATACAGATGCATATATTTTGTGTAAGACCATTAAAAAAACAACAACAAAAAAACCCTAAAACCTAGCTCCTATGCTGTGTGCACATCTTTTCTTTTAACTGGGCAGTTTTTGCAGCCACGGTTCTTCCTTACATTTTTTTTATTTAACTTGTAAGAATGAAACTGAATTTTATCAGGCAAATCTGGCCCATATATCTGATCCCCAAGTCCCACTTTGAAGTCTTAATATTGGCATCTTCACTTTTACCATCTTGATTTAAAAAGAAACAAACAAAAAAACAGATGACTGAGACTGCTTGCTCATTGGCTAAAAATTTGTGAATGATTACCATTGGGTGTACCATAGATAATCCTTTTGGAAGCATATTATGACCAAGATTTACAAAATAGGCTTAAAAAAACCATTAAAAACTGAATGAGTGACTGAGCCCATAACTCAGCAGGAAAGCGTTCTTTTAGCAAGCACAGCTATCGCCATCTGGTGGTCTTCAGATAGAATGCAGGTTTTAGGCACTTCTGTCTTGGACGTAGCTATTGAGTCAGAAAAATGAACCTGTTTTATACCTTCTATGATCAGCTTGTTTAAAAACCTCAGAAAGCCGAGGGTTCTCTGGGGGTGGAGGTACTCGCAGTGCTTCCTGGTTATCGGCCATGCTAGCAACATGGCTGTGACGTGCTAGCATCAGCAGTCCACAACTTAGTCTAAACCTAAATAACTCAAACTCAAAAAATAACCTTCATTATCATTTGTTTTCATCCTGTATTACTTTTGCCCCTTGGTTTATAGATTTTTAGCACACTAGCACTTACCCTACCTTTTAGCGCTAGCCATCAATCTATGTGGCCTAAAATCTGCTGAATCTACGCAATGCCTATGATTTTATTTTTGGCAGTATTCATGCTGTCATTCCTGAAAATTCCGATTTCAACTAAATAGTCCAGTCAGTTCTGCCAATTACAGTTTAAAGATGCCACAGTATCCTGTGTATCCCTGCGTAAAGCTCAACACCAGTGTTTTCCAGCACTACAGTACTCTTCTCCCAGCTGAAACCTCCAACTTCAGGTCTTCTGTTAATGTGTAAAGATGTGCATGTGGTGTAACATGAAGGTTCGAGGTGTACCACAGATTGTTGATTGCAGCCGATGTGATGGCGACACGTTACGAGAAACAGCCTCCACTGGTTACCTTTAAAGTCACATTGGACTCAGTATCACATCCGCAAACCTGTTTATGCGACAGGCTTCATTGCCAATAATAAATCATAAACAGCCATTTTTAATCGGCAAACAAATTGAGAAAATACCACTGTAAATGCCAAGGTTTGGATTAAAAAATAACAAGTTAACGATCAAAGACCATTTTGTAAAAAACGACAAAAACATGCAGTACAAAAAAAAGTGTCCAGATTTTCTCCAAGTCGTTTTATTTTTCCTTTTCTTTGTTGAATCTTTACACTTTTCCTTCTCGTTAATACCCTTGTTGTGAATGTCTGGCAAAAACAAGTGGCGATCTTTAAAGTCTTCATAACACAGACTTAACTGTGGTTCTATTGCTCCGTTGTTGTGGTTTGCATCTTTTCAGGCATTGTTAGAGCTGTCACAGGGGTGTTTCTGGCCAATCAGAAATGGGGATTTATTTATTTTTTTTTTTCCCCTTCTTGCAGCTGATCAGTATTTATCTGACCTGCAGGAGAGACAGTAATATAACGGACATTTGTACTGGTGCTCCTCTAAGCACAGACCCACTGTAGTTACACAGGGACTGATTGATTTGTCCAAAGACTGTAGCCTCAGCAATCACTGACGCATATCAGACGTAGGTGAACCATTACTTTACAGCCTTTTGTATGCACAAACTACATTTTGCAACAAAGTAATTGTATTTTTTGTCAGGGTGTCGTGAAAGACACACAAAAACAAAACACTTTGTGGCTTTATTTCAAGTTCAGTTTGTTAAAGTGATCTGAAATTCAGATGCTGAGGTGCATTTAGGAACGATTGCTGTTCTCTTAGCGAGCGAACTGAAATGAAGCCCAGTGCTGTCGTCATTACTGAATGGCCAGACCCCATAGTGTGGACGGGCAGCTGCACCAGCCTGGTAGTTAGTATTTGCTTATGTATTAGTTTAGCAGATGTGCACGAAGAGCACTGCACGAAGAAAACAAAACTGTGCAAATATTCTGATTTTACCACAAATAAAGGTTTGGATTTGCAGATGTAATCAGTGGTTTTGGCTTTTGTTTGTGTACGTGTGTGACTTTACAGACATGGAAAAACACAAACTGTGAAGTTATTAAAAAGTGTTTATTTGAAAATAAGTACATTCTACAGCATCAAATTATAAAAACAGTGTGCATAAAATGCATCTGACAGGAATGATTGATTCCCTTGTCCTTAAAACACAGATCATTAAAAATCATAAACAACTAATTTGAAATCTGAAGTTGCACCTACATATTTCTACCTTGGTACAGAGCCTTGCTGACTGGTAGCAGAGGATGACTCGAAGCTGTTTGCTTCATTCAATAAGCAGATTAAAATGACCTGACAGCCACGTTTCTTAAAGTTGGAGTCAGTTTTATTAGCTTTGTGTAGAACAACAGAACAGCAGCCTCTGTAACTCTGAATAAAGCTGCGTCCACACAGGAAGTGATTCGCAGTGATGCTGTGACGAGAGACCGTAAAAAGTCGAGATCTGGCAAAAGTAAAACTGCTTAGAAACCTTTCTCAACTTTGATGCAAGCGATTGAAGTGACTAACATACAATGGGGTGTCAAACATGAGGCCTTGGAGCCAGTTCAGCTAAGATCTTCCCCTGTGGCCATTCATGATACACCAAAGTAATGAAATATTTAAAAAAAAAAACTTAAGTGTTTTTTTTTTCTCAAGTCAACAGTAAAGAAAAAAAATTAAGTGAACAAAAACTTTGTCCAGAATGTACTAAAATTATAAAACTGAGCTACGAATTATTCACATTTCTTACGGTTTAAGCCCAAAGAGTTGTGCTGACAGATCTTTGTCATGTAGAAAAACTTATTTTATTAACATATGAGGCATTAAGTTTGGAGTTTCTCTGATCCAGTTGTCTTCTGATCACAGTATTTGGCCCACGGTGTACAATGGCAGACATCCGTTCATTAGAGGGTTATCTAGGAATTACCTGCATAACCCTTGTTCTCTGAAACCTGTTCTATTATGTAATGTGTCGTTCCAGTCTGGGCCAAACGGCGACCAGAATATTTGCATTAACAATCTTGAAGGAAACACATGAGATAGAAGGCTGAGGAAGGTCAAATCAGTTTCTTCTGGTCTCAAAATGAGCCTCTTGGGTTCATAATCCATGTACACTGGAAATAAGGCACTGAGTCTGTGCTACCTACATCAACAGAGATCATTGCTATTTCAGGCCATTTGGTAAAAGAAGGCTAAAGTTAACAAAGCCCAACTTAAAAATCTATTCTTACAATCCTGATTATTTTCTGTTGATGAAAGCCAACAGGAAAGAGTCTTAATTTAAACTTGTGCCTGCACTGCATACTCAGCCAAACGCAATCAAAGGTGAGGCGTTGCTCTTCCCCTCAGTTTTTCTTCCTGCGCTGACACTTTAACCTGTTTGTCTGCACGACTCCAGGATCCTGCCAACACTAAATGAAAATGTTGAACCAATCAGAGATTAATGTCCCTCAGCCCACAGTGTGCAAACATTTAATTTAAAAAAATCACAATGAGCAGGACAAGACACTGTTAATATCAGCTAAGATTGTAATTACTATGAAGTTAAAGTGCATTAATTTCCAGCTGTACGTCTGCTTTGAAGGCTCTCCCCTTGGTTATCTGGCACTTCAGGTCCTGTTGCTCAGACTGTCTTAACTGAGAGACGGCTGAGAATGAAATGTTCTGCAGAGTGAGACTGATGCTAACTGAAGGATTCAGTGTTTTGTTCATTGAGCTTTAAACCAGCCATAATGGCCTCTGTGCTGCATAAATATCACGTGAAATTACTTGTATGGAAAAAAAATTAAGTCTCTTCCTGTCAGTCAAGATTCAGAGCTGATCGTGACCACTGTGGTGCTAGCATTTTCAAACTCGCGCCTGATTGGTGGTTGGTCTTCGCTGATGTCTGACCAGAAGTCTGGGTTGTCTCGGTACCATTTCACTGTAAAAACAAGAAACGCATGAATCACTAACACACCATACAGGAAGGGAGTGTGTGTGTGTGTGTGTGTGTGTGTGTGTGTGTGTGACTGTACCTGTCTGTCTGATGCCTTCAGTCCAGGACACCTCAGCTCTCCAGCCCAGCTGCTGCAGCTTCTCACACTTGATGGGGTAACGCAGGTCGACCCGCGGCCTGGAGAGCAGAGGTCAAAGGTTAAAAGTGGATAAGAGTGTGCTTTTAAGGTCAAGATGTCAAAAGACGGAGATTTTGAGTCTAAAGCCAAAGTGGAAGGCTTTGGCTACTTCCTGGAATTCTCCCCTGCTTTTGCCAGCTCTTTCTCTACTTACCTGTCAGGCACAAACTCAAGCCAATCATTTACTTCAGATTCTGGCACTTTCTTGACCTAAACGGAACGAACACACACACACACCTTTTAGTATTCATTTAATTCGCTTACTTCCTAAAAGCTCCTGCTAAATGTTTGGATAAACAGTTCCTAAACCCACCATCCTAACAAGTTCCCTCGCCAGCTGCATGATGGGAATCTCACAGCTTGTCCCCACATTGTAGATTTCTCCCACAATCCCTTTCTCCAGAAGCAACAGGAAGGCGTTTATGGCATCACTGACAAACAGGAAGTGGCGGGATTTTGGAAGGGTTCCCTGGATAGTGCTGCCGCAGAGCAAACGCACAGAAACGGGTTTAATTGGATAAGCACTTCTGTTACTGTGAAACACAGACCGGAACGACAGCGCTCGTTAAAACAAACCCACCATTTCTTGTCCATCTGTAAGAGGGTGAGGAACCTTGGAATGACCTGAAAGATCAAGATGACAATTTATATTAAAAGCTTGGTGACAAAGAAGAAGAAGATATGTTTAACTCTTTAAAACCAGTTAAATCTTTGGAAGGAACTGAAAGTGAAAGTCTGATTTTGCATTTTCTGTTTGTGCATTCAGTTGTAGTCAAATGTAAACACACAGCTGATTGCAGCATTTTTAAACCTGCAGGGTGAACTTTTGTCTCCCCCTTGTGGCACTGAGGGTAATTACAATAACCTTAAAACAAATCTTTAAAATATGTATCACTGTAGATTAATCTTGCACAGATGACATCAGTGTGACCTGATGTTGCTTTACATACATGAAAATAGTTCTACATACAGCTGCGCAGATATCTTATATACAGCCTCAAATCTTAAACTGTACAAATGGAGCATATTTCTGCAAAATTAGCCACTAAATGTAAAATGGGTGTGCTTAGTCATGATACTGGACCTTCTCCGTGTACTGCCTGGGCCCGTAGATGTTGTTGCTCCTGGTAATGATGATGGGAAACTGGTAACAGAGCAGTATTCAAATGACAAAGATGAAAAAAGTCATTCAGGTTTTAAAATTAAAGGGACAGTTCACCTCAAATCACATTAACCTCTGGCCTCTAGTGCCATGTAGATTATTTTGATGAGAGTTGCCCAGTTTTGAAGTTCTCTTTCTTACAAGAGTACAAGCGCAACTAGTCTGCAGCAACAGGGGACTTGACTTATAGTTGCCAGCTGGGTGCATTCTAGTCATATTCCTGTAAAACTGGAAGGTTGTGGAGCGCCCACATCATTTTGCAGTTACATCGCTTTCCTGCAGCAACAACATCACTATTTATGGAAGGATTTCTCATCAGATCGATATGTCTCTGGCTGGACTCTGAATATAAGGACTTAATGTGAATTTCTATGTATGTAGACAGCGAAAGTTAGCTGCTTCCTGATCACTGATTGCAATCAAATGCCAATCCGACCGGGCTCAGTTGTAGACTGATAGCAGGCTGACCCGATCTTATTGCCATCTAAATGCACTAAAGTATCTTTAAAGATGGCATCTGACTACAATCAGTGGCCAAGCAACTATTTCAAAGGCAACGAGCTCCAAAGTTCATGTCATATGGTCACAATAATAACGCTGTTTTCACTACTGTGATTGTTAAACTGAGTAACTAACATCCAAGCCAAAACTGAAAAATCAAAAACTAATATCTAAAGTCATTTATTTGGTTTGGAAGGTACTGGCCCATCTGTATGGGTTTACCTTGTACTGGTCCCAGTATGATCTGACCAGATACTCTGCAGCAGCTTTAGTAGCAGCGTACGGATTGGAGGGCCTCACTGGGCTGCTCTCATCAAACACCTGTAGGGGACAAACATCAGCGTCACTGCCTGATCCATAAACAAAAGCACGAACCAACAACCCCAATCTATCCACTGGCCTCATGCAGACTGGCTCCGTACACCTCATCGGTGCTGATGTAGATGAAGCGCTGTGGCTGGTGTCGGGCCTGATGGGCCGCTCCCAGCAGAACTCTGGTCCCTTCAACGTTGACCTGCTGGAAAGTGGACGGGGATTCAAAGGAAGCCTCTGACAGCACAGAGAGGAAGGAGAGAGGAAAAGAACTTTAACACGAGAGCTGAAACTGCAAAAGCTCCTGTTCATAAGAACTGCCCGAACAAGCTGCTGCTCACCGACGTGAGTTTTGGCAGCCAGGTGAAAGATGACGTCGATGTTTTTGGAACTGAAGATGTGGTTCAGCAGCCGCGGGTTACACACATCCCCCTGTTGAAGAAAAGAGTCCAAATGAGTAACTGTGCACCCGGCACAGTTAAAGCTCAACTGATGATAAATCCTTCCAATTACACCTTATTTTAAGCATAATAATACATGTAATTATACAAAAGTAGCATTAAATTACATAGACATCTGGTGTCCGTCTGGTTATTCTTGACCTGATGTGTTTATTTATCAGCGCTCACCCTGATAAAGATGTAGTTTGTTCTGTTTTCAACGGTCTTCAGACTCCTGGGGCTGCAGCAGTAATCCAACTGGAAGAGATCAGACAGTGAGACGTGCCACAGTGCACACAGCAGACACTGTGGCAGCTTTGCACGTCACAAAGACAACAAACCCACAGTGTTATATTTGGAAACGGAGTGAGGGGGGGGGAAGAAAATTAAGACTTACATTATCCAGGTTGATAATTCTCCATTCCGGGTGTCTGTGGACCAGCGAGCACACCAGATGGGAGCCGCTGCAGGAGCAGAGAAATTTGAGACAGTTCATTTACGCCCCACTGGCCTTTATCTGGGCAGAGACTCCATCAGCCCACACATGTCTGTGCCATTTATGTCAAGAAGACGACATGAGCTGACCACTTTGCATTGCCTATATGTAAACACTACAGAAATCACATCCCACAAACAGAGATTCCTTCATTTGTTAGTGAGATAAAACCATAATAATGAAATGAAACCTGATTTGTGAACTGAGCATTCCCAAATTTTACATTTTTTTTTATAATAAAAGGGAAAACTTTGCTTGTTCCTCCATTTGCCGTTAATAAACCTGTCTCTATGTGTTTTTTATGTCTAATATCTTTGCTTATATTGGTAAAGAGGCTGTATTAACCAGGATTTGTTAAGGAGTTATATTTAACACAAAGAAATCACCTGTTATTGTACCTACATTATAAATAATCCAGTCCATTTCAGTCACTTCCAATATCTCGAAAGAACTCTGAATTTAAATTTGCTGCAATTTCTGCTGCCCACTTGGTCACATCTGTTTCGAAAAAGACATTTTTAATGCCAATAAGACTTTTTGCCAGGATAAATAAAGGATATATGGAGATCACTTTGCCAAAAACGGGTTCCAGCTTCTGTGTTGTCACAGGAAGTTCTTTCTTGACCGATTACAGGCAAAACAAGTAATTTACAAGTGTTCTAACTGAGTGCTAACTACTCTTTAACACTCATCTGAGCATTTGGCTCCATGTGTTTGTGGGCTCAATTCTCAGCCTGCCATAATATTTTGAAATATATCCCAGGACTGAAACCACTACTCCAAGACTTGTGAACAGTTACTCAACCTGTAGAGACACCGGGATGATTTATAAGATAAGCCAGAGTAATGTTAGTTCGTTTGTTTTTTACAATAAATACTTTTTCACTAATAAGATTGTGCTTATTTCTTAGTAAATAACTGCTATTGCTAACAGGTGTTCCTTTATTGTTTACCTCTGTTTCACCTGTGCAAAGGTTTTCCTTACAGGTCCTAGTCTTGATAACTAAAAGAGGAACCACGGTCAGGTTTATCAAGCTAAATGCTAAGTTCGTAATGTTATTTCAGCTTAAGTGTACACTGATATGAAATACGAACGCACATGAATCCACAGCCTCCAGTCACCAGAACAGTCCTGTTGAAGTCCATTTCCTGGTCTTCCAGCAGCTGTTACCTCACAACATGAACTCCTATAGGTAAAATAAAAACATATTTTCCGACATCAAGCCTGTAAGCTAGCTATCCTAACGGAAACAGCAGAGCTTTATTTCCTTCCATAACAGTAGCCGGATTGTGCGACAGTCACCGGCTGCTTCACGGCAGTGTTGACACGTTGAAAGAGGGCGGGTCATTAATAGTGTGTGTACTAGTTTCTACTCTCTGATTGGTTGTCCTACATGACGCAGTGAAGTTAGCGCGATGTGATTGCGTGAATCCCGAATCAATCAAACTGTCAACGTAGACCTGTAGGCAAGCGAAAACCAGTCAAGTCCTCTTAAATAAACACATATCATCCGGTGGTGCTTTCCAAAATAAAGGTCGTATCGAGTATTTTAACCTACAACACTTGTGTGTGTTGCGTTTAGTTTTGTACCAAACTTAAATATAATATTATTTCAGGTGTGTCTTCATGTGAATGTGTTTTGTGTCATTCCGCGCGCGTTTATTATCCATTATTACCAAGCTTAGCTTTTATTTGAGGGCAAGAACATCCAACTTCCGGTCACAGCTTGGCGAACTTTTGGGGGTCTTGACGCAGCTGGTTCACTTCTGGCTTCGTGGCTCATTGAATCGATGAGGCATCCTATATTTGTCGATAACGCTAAACTGCACAAGCGGGAAAATGTCGTACTTATTAGCCACTCTTGCGGCTGTTTTGCTGCTCACTTCGGAGGCTTCCGGGAAAACTGTTACGGGACTTTTTAAGAGCGAAGCGGCGAGACAGCAGAAGGGCCAGTTCATCACTAAATTCATGTACCAAGGTAACGTTGACGGTGCTGATGTGCTTGCTGCTGGCGTGTCATTCCAGCTCTGACAGCGGGCTTAGCTTCTTTTCACGCCACCTTAATGATTAACGTGGGGTAATAACGAGCTGACGGCTCAGTTTAGTGCCCGTGTTTGCTTTCCTTTTTTTATTTGCTAACAGCTCTCACTGAGCCGCTCAACAATGGGTGTAACTAACGTGTCATGCGAGTATCTGATAACGTGTGCACTGATTATTAGCAGTTCTGGCAGCATTCAGCCGGCGCTTTATCTTTACCTTTGCTGCTTAATGTCAAATTACTGTTTGTCTTAAGCCTCTGTATTTTGTTTTATAGCATTTTTATTCGTGCTGACCTCCAACAAGTATTCCGGAAACTTGCTTCAGGACACTTTTAGGTATTTTTTACAGGTCTTATAGGAATCCAACTTCTTTCCGACCCATAAATGAGCTGATTGCACCCTGAGTGTGGACAGAGGCTGGCTGCACATGTCACATGGCATAGTGGGGGGTGTTTTCTGCAAGACTTTTTGCTTTTAAAAGGTCTGAAGCTACCAGATGTCAGCTAATCTCACTTGTTTCAGGAGATTAACCCTGTGTGAAGCACAAGGGCTTATGGGTAGAAACCATGCTGGCAAACTAGGGACCCATCATTCGGCCTCAGAGAGCCAAAGGCCACTGAAAGCTACAATCTCTTTGTTCTCCAGCTTATATATTTGAAAATGAACGTTTTATATATTAAAGTCTAATCAGTTGAGTACATTATTGAATTACTAGTTAGCCGTTTGGTCTGTAAAATTTCACGAATATGCTGAGTGTTAAATGTTACATCTGAGAAGCTGCTGCAACCATGGTGCCTTGTCTTCGTTTAGCCGGCAACGGTCTGCTGGTGTGCCGGGTGGACAGCTCAACGCTGGCTAAAGAGAGAGAGTCCAGACTGCTGCTGTATCAGGATATGGACTCGGAGCTGGACAACCTCAGCTGCTCCGAGAGGCTCGCCAAAGCCGACGTGACCAGTAAGAAACCAGCAATCGCTGATACAATTCTGGATTCTCCTGCCATGACGCCATATTGATTTATGTCTCCACTTTCCTTCCTCCACACTGTCACCTCATCTCTCTTCCCCCACCCCTACCCACCCACAGTTACACTCAGTCAAGAAGAGCACAACCAGACGATCCCTCGGCAGTCTTTGCCCACAGCCTGGCAGATCCTGTATGCTGACAGATATACATGTCAGGTAACACAATTATATATAATATTAATGTAATAATGCAACTAGGGCTTCAGTCAGGCAAACCTGCAGCAGCGATGCTGTTGTCACAAATATGAACAAATAAGAGGACACCTCTAAAGGAGACTCTGTGCAAAGACACATGCACTCTATATTGCAGTATACAGTGAAATACAGTCCTACTCCTGCAGAAACTGATGCAGGGTCGCAAATGTTTTGGTTTGCATCACACCTACAGGTCAGTGCATGCACAGTCATGTACGCATATATACAGTCAAATACACACACAGTCATAAATCTGTCACAATAAACATTTATTGTCAGCGAGCTCATTCTAACACACAACACTGACAGTGTGAATGCACAGTTAAATATTTAAAACTGGTTCTGGAAAAGTAGGTTGAAATATTGGTAGTAATGCTGTTATACTAGATAGTAATGCCTTCAACAGTACTGCATGATCGAGTAATAATGATAGTCATAACTATATGGATTCTGCTTATCACTGAGATTTCCGTTCTCTCCTTAGGAAAACGTATTGATTGCCGGCCACGCTGATCTTGATTTCACTGTCCTGCTGTTTAATGCCGACTCGGCTGGAAACCCTCTGGAGCATTTCAGTGCAGAGGAGGCAGGTCAGACACCCCGAATACGCCCTCCGCTGTCAGACTACAGCAGATAATGTCAGTGCATCACTAAGCTCAAGCTGGTGATGCATTTCATGCTTGTTAGCTTCCTCTGCAGTGAGAGTATGACTGTCGGCATAAAGTCCCAAATCTAGTAAAACTAATAAAAAGTTGTAAGGGCTCTTCAGGTGCTATGTCAGACCTGATTAATACATTAGGACAGGACTTTATGTTTGATCCTGATGGATTGCTGATGATTTTTCCCCTCTCGCTCTCTTAGGCCTCCACAGTTTTTACTTCCTCCTGCTGCTGGCCTACTTTATCGCCTGCTGCATCTACATCCAGCCTCTGTACCAGGCTCTGAGGAAAGGAGGACCCATGCACACTGTCCTCAAAGTACTGACTACAGCGCTGGCTTTACAGGGCTGCTCTGCGCTCTGCAACTACATCCACCTGGCCAGGTAGATTCAGCAGAGCCAGAGAAAGGCAGTGCAATATTTATAATGTTTCTAAAGCTCATGCTACTCTCGATGGCCCACTGTTACATATCAGTAATGTTTTATGACCTAAAATGTATTTTAAGTCTTTTGGAATATTTGTATTTATTTAGTACAGAGTTGTTAATAAAAAACTATGTGAATTAAGACAACAGTGTTTCTGTTTGTGCTTCTTGTTGTCTGCAGGTATTCCAGAGATGGAATCGGTCTTCCACTGATGGGCAGCCTGGCTGAGTGTATGTTACCTGCAACATTATAAAGAGTCAATAAGAGAAAAAATGAACCTCTCTGATCATGTTAACCTCTCTTTTGGCTCCAATGCAGTCTGGGATATGGTGTCCCAGGTGTCCATGCTGTACATGTTGTTGAGTCTGTGTATGGGCTGGACCCTGAGCCGAGGCAGGAAGCCTCAGTCCCGACCTCTGCAGTGGGAACAGTCTCCGGCCTCCACGGCTGTAGCTGTTGGTGGAGTTATTACACAGGTATGCAGAACTTGAGATGACTTCAAGTGTTTAATTTTTAAGGAAAATTTGATCCAGCACATAGAATCTCGATCAGGTAAACATGATGTTTTCAGAATGAGGTGGGAGTTCATTTGGGGTATTTGCCACAAGATGATTGTTAAGAACCGGACTGTATTTTCAGGCGGTGCTGCTGCTGTGGGAGCAGTATTCAGAGTCGGAGAGTGAGCACCACAGCTATCACGCCCAGCAGAGTGTGGCTGGTCTCCTCCTCATGGCTCTGAGAGTGGGCCTGGCCCTCCTGCTGGCCTCCATCCTCTACCAGATCATCTCCACCGAGAGGAGCACCCTAAAGAGAGACTTCTACCTCAGCTTCGCCAAGGTAAAAACGATTTCTCAATAAAACTGACATAACAGACTCCTGCAGGTTCTCGGGCGGTCATGTGGTCTTGTTCTGTGCAGGGATGCTTCCTGTGGTTCCTCTGTCATCCCATCCTCGTCCTCATGTCTGTGATCTTCAACGAGCATCAGAAGGAAAAGGTTTGAACTCCCGCACAAAGACAACAACAGTTTTTGCTATTGAGGATAATTCTTTCATGTTCACTGAGTTTAAATGTTCAGTTCTTACCTTTTGTCCTCCATTGGGCACCAAGTTTACACGCTGCCTCCCACCTGTCTTCCTCCTCTGCAGGTGGTGACCATGGGGGTGATCCTCTGCCAGTCCATCTCCATGGTCATCCTCTACCAGCTCTTCCTGTCTCGCTCTCTTTACTGGGAGGTGTCCTCTCTGTCCTCAGTTTCCCTGCCCCTCACCATGTCCAGAACGAACCACAGGGCGCGCTACTGAGCATGTACACCCTCACAATTTTCCTAATAATGATTATCACGAGCTAAGGGTGGATGTGCCATGATGCTGTGACGCTCCTCCTCAAAAAAAATGTGCTCAGACGCTGCAGGGACTGATTTTCTTTGCAGTTAACTGTTTCCTGGGAGAACTTCTGTAGTTACTAGGAAGCAAGTTACCAAGAAATCATTGAAAGAGGGTGAACAGAGGATGATATATGTACAACAACAGCCTACCTCTAGTTTTAAGTGATTTTGACTGGAGCCAGCATGAGCACTGCTGAACAAGAGGAGGAGAGAACCGGCTGTCAGGCCGTTTCTTTGGTTCTCCATGACGCCAGCCAAAATACCACTGAAACAAAAGAAAAACGAGGACGGATGAAGACAGCCGGCCAGGATTGAGATTAAGGATGCATCACCTAGAGACGCAGATGTGAGGAAAGAAAAAGGAAGCGAAGATTTACTCCTCACAGGGCCGAATATGGTGATGGCTGCCTGGGCCAAGATTAAAATACTCGAGAGCGTTTTATTTCTGTTCTTGGATTTGATTATAACACAAACAGAAGCATCGATTTACTATCAAGGAAAAAACAAAGACACTACTATTTAGGTCTGGATTGCAGAAGCCGTCGTCTCATTGAGCTTTCCCTGCTCATTAAAGCTGCAACGACTTGGATCAAAGCCACG